TCGTTCACCGTCCGTTCGAACCGTGCCAGTGTCGTTTCAGGAACATCCCCTGTATCCGTCCAGCTTCGCAGTGCTATCTGCTTCCCATTATTGTAGATGCACACTTTACTGTTGACCCAATCGATCTCGGGGTTGAACCGCTTCAGGAAATCTCGCCCCAAGATAAAATCTAGTCCCTTGATATTCGTGATCGGCAACGTCGGCTTCCACCTTAACGCCCCTATCTGCAGCTGCAGTGTTGACTCGCCGTGGATGGGAAGCTTTGTACCGTCCACCATTGTTGCAGAGAATTGTGTCTCCTCCGCCTTCTCTCCGATTTTCTCCAATGTCTCGCGGTCGCACACCGAGTGAGATGCACCGCTGTCCACCAGTGCCTGGAGGCGTCGCCCTTTGCAGAGAACCTCGAGGAGTAGTGGTTGTTGCCGCTCCGAGTAGCCGTAGATGGTCTCGCTTACTGGATCATAGGGTACGTCGAAGAGATCATCCCCAGATCCTGCGCTCGAAGCTGCTGACTCCATATTAGTTTCCAACTGTCTCGTATTTTGTCGGCCGCTGCTTCGCGTCGATCTTGTCGATATCCATCGGGTCGGCGGTCGTGGGTCGTGTCGAATGATCTGTTCGGCACGTGGCGTCGTGTCTCGGGTTGACCTCGTGTCAGCGCATCGAATCTCTCTGCTGCACACACCATGTCGCGGTAGTTGCTGTAGTTTGCGGCAATCACCTGTCGGCGGACTTCCATTTTTAGCCCCTCAGTATACGCTTGGATTTTTTCCCCTTCGGTCAGGTCGGTAATTCGGTTGAAGAGGCTCTCCATCTGCTGTGTGTACTGTGTTACACTGCCGTACTGTTTGTTCCGATGAATCTGCTGCCACGCCAGGTAGCTCGAATTAATCGGTTCGAAGCGTTGAATTAAAGCTGCCCGAAACTGCATCCATGACCTCTCACCTCGGATCTCATTACTGTTGTAAATCCACTCGAGCGCCGGGCCTCGCAACAGTGTCGCTGCGAGCCGAATCCGCATTGCATCGTGTGTCGGGGTCGTACAGCCAACGGCCTCGAAGTAAATTTCGAGTGTAGCAATGAATCGACGGACGTCGGTGTCTCTTGCATTCGGATTGAACGTCTCCGGTAGCCTCGGACGTGCCGCCTCAAGATTCACTGTGGCTGCTGCTTGGTGAAGTGTCGGTGTCGCCGCTGCTGCTGCTGCCGTCGCTGCTGCATTCGCTGCTACGTTCGCTGCTGCCGTGGCGGCTGCCGACTGGTTCGCGAGAAGCTCCTCTATTCGCTGGAGTGCCGCTCGCATCTGGTCCACGTCGGTGCGTAACTCCGTAATTTTTCGTACGGAATTTTCACCATTTTCCTCCATTTGGCGATTTACACGAAGATTTGCGACGGAAAAATTTGCATTCTGGGTGCTGGTCGACTTACTGCGATTAAACTCGACTGCAGAAATGACGAGCGCTAGGTCCGTACGCCACGTAATCCTCCCTTAGCCGAAATTCGCGTCTGATCCCGGCCGTTGAGAAGAGAATCGATCCGACGCTCCAAATTCCAACTTTTTTGGGCGAAATTCTCAGGGCCGTTGAGATTCGAATCGATCGGACGGTCGAAATTCCAACTTTTTCGCCAATGAACCTGAGGAGGATTCGAAAACCGGTTCGAGGGGGACGTTAGAAAACAGCGCGGAACTGGTTTACGTACACGAAATCGGCACTTCCCTTCGTCGCCCCCGCGGTTTTAAAAGTGGTCGAAAAACTTCGCGTGTAAACAGGCTCTGATTACCAAGTGTGAGGATCTAGGATCGAGCTCAGAAAAGAGAGTTTGAATTGAATGATCACCTGGGTACAACACGAGGCTATTAATATAGGCTACACACAAGGGGCAGTAACCAGGTGTTACGTGAGGTTCCGGGGGTCGCGAAGCGTCCCGAACAGACCCTTCCCGAATTCGGCAGAAGGCAATTTGGTGGCAAACGAATAGCCCAAAATTCGGTGTACGCAACCTAGCTCGGTGCTATAACTATAATAAAATATAGGAAAGCACCTAGCCTAGGAAATCAAGCAATTCATGCATGCATAAAATAAACCTAAGCTAGAAGTAGCATAATAAAGTAAAGGCAGGCATGCATAGCTGGCATAAGCCGTCGTACTCTCACAGTTGCAGGCTTGGAATCTGTGCAAGGATGGGCCAGTGCGGAACATGTCACCGTTTCGTGATTTGGTTGTTTTTTTTAGCTCCGTTTCTTCACATTGTTCCCTAGTAGGACCGATTTCCAAGCCATAGGAACTCGTTTGACCTCGTTCGCCCAACTACGCAGCTCGTGACGCTTGTTTGTGCGTTGCAGACTTGGAATTTGTGCAAGGATGGGCAAGTGCGGAACATGTCACCGTTTCGTGATTTGCTTGTTTATTTTAGCTCCGTTTCTTCACACTGTTCCCTAGTAGGACCAATTCCCAAGCCATAGGAACTCGTTTGACCTCGTTCGCCCAACTACGCAGCTCGTGAGGCTTGTTTGTGCGTTGCAGGCTTGGAATCTGTGCAAGGATGGGCCAGTGCGGAACATGTCACCGTTTCGTGATTTGGTATTGTTTTTTTTAGCTCCGTTTCTTCACACTGTTCCCTAGTAGGACTAATTCCCAAGCCATGGGAACTCGTTTTACCTCGTTCGCCCAACTACGCAGCTCGTGACGCTTGTTTGTGCGTTACAGACTTGGAATCTGTGCAAGGATGGGCCAGTGCGGAACATGTCACTGTTTCGTCATTTGGTTGTTTTTTTTTAGCTCCGTTTCTTCACACTGTTCCCTAGTAGGACCAATTCCCAAGCCATAGGAACTCGTTTGACCTCGTTCGCCCAACTACGCAGCTCGTGACGCTTGTTTGTGCGTTGCATGCCTGGAATCTGTGCGAGGATAGTTCCGTTGGCAACGTGATTTGAACCCCAACTCAAATGTTGTCTACATCCAGTTGGGGTGTCCTAGCCCCAACTTCTAGAGCCAGATTGCGCTTAGTCAATAACATGTCAAACCTATTCCACCGACCACCCGACACAACGCTGCGTGTATGGTCTTCGTGACCTTACCGTCTAACCCCAGGTCAGCTCACTTTCCATCGTTTAATTGTTCCACCTCAAGGCACCGCACCCAATTGCGTTGTAATACACCACTGTTTCTTAATGAGTAAACTCCGGTACTCATGAGCTTCATTCAATAGTGAGAGAAGGTGCTCTATTGGTTTTGGAAATAGCAGTTACAGTGCAACATGGAGCTTACCTCAATATGTTCCCTTTATATCGCGTCCGGGATTACACCTACACAACACGCGAAGTCCTGATCAGTTCCGAGGCTGTGCCTCGCTGGCGCAAGTTCACTAGGCATGGTTGGCGTCGACTACCGCGTCAGCGTAGTTTTGGGCGCCCGAATCAGCCGTGAGTCCTATCTGTAAATCTGCCGAACCTGGCAGGCAGGCAGCACGGCGGGGACGTTGACCGGACGTGCACCAAACCACCCAGTTTACACAAAGTGGTGCACGTTCGGGTTCTTCCCCTCCATCCCACCCTCCTCATCCTCCTCAACACCCCCTCTACGATCCCCTTAGACAGTTCAAACTGAATTTTGAAAGTTCAAACTTCAAACACCACACCCATTCCACCACTGCCAAATCCCTCACCCGTCCCCTCGTTACCGCCACACATATCGTTAGTGGCATCGATCGAGGCATCAAGCAGGCCCCCACCCTATCTCAACGCGATGCGTAGGCAAGGTAAGAGTTGATCGCCCAGGCATCACCGTGACGAGCATTTCGTGTAAAACGCCTTTTTTGCTGGAGTGTTGCCATCATCTACTCCTTCACTCAAGTTCATTTAGTACTTATACCTTGCATTAGCTAGTTATGGGCCGTGGTCAATCATTTAACGTTCCCGCTAGTATGCAGATGGCGGAACCGTTACGTACGTCCATTCCGTGCAAGAGCAATGACAATCATGCATTCTTCCCCGCCAACAAAGGTAGGCGCTCTATTTTGAAGATTTTTGGTTGTATCAACTGCTGTGTTTCAACTACCTTGTATTTTCTATTTCCATACGGTGATACGCTTGACGCTGCCATTACTGGTGCGCAGTCTGGCAAACGCGGCGCCAAGCGTCAAGGCGAGCGAGCCACCGGTGTCAAACGTGCTGCGGCCGAGGGTAAGTCGTCTGCTGCCGCCGCATCACCGACTACCACTGCCAATCCTGCGCCTGTCGCTGCCCATCTTGCTCCTACCGCTACTGACACTGCGGATGCAGAGGAGGAAGAAGAGGGCGAGCTCTTCGGGAACGTAATTGCTCAACCGCTCCAGGGGAACGGCCAGCGTGGTAAGCTCTGACGTGGCGAGTTGTTCGTTTGCAAAGCATTTCGAGTACTTACCTCCGTTTTTCCGCGCCATGCAGTTCTCACCCTCTATGCCCGTACCATGAAGCAGGCGGGCGTTAATCCTAGTCCAGAGGCCGATAAGTTTCATCCCGAATCGCGCCCGGGCGTTAAACCCGGTCAATCAGAGCCTTCGTGCGCAGGCTGCAATTGCTCGCGAGGCTGTCGAGACGCTACAGACCGACTGCAAGACCAAGGACCTGCAGATCCTTAAAGCTCTTGGCATCGCCGGTTCTCTCGCCGATGCTGTGCTTCTGCAGAAGATTGTTAATCTTGATTTCGAGGTGAGTTGTTTTTTTACGCTTTGGTTCTCTGTTTACTCTGGTATTGACCGACGGGTGCATTGTGTTGCTATTGCAAAAAATGATGTCCGACACTGTCAATGATTTCCTCTTCGACGGCGACCACGTCAACATGTCGCCGAGAAGGAGTGATTTTGTACAACGCCTTGTTGGTAAGGATCAGGTTCGGTTTTTTTTTTTTTTTTTTTGGTTGTGCGATGTGAGTTACTAACTGCCGCCCATTTATATACTTCGCACAGCTCATGCAGGTTTCACAGCAGGCAGCGACGAGGCTACGAGGCTGGTGGCGCACATGAAAGACAAAGACATCATAAAAAAGACGGAGAAGCGGTTCAACAACCGCATTGGCAAGATCTACGGCGCCTGCAGGAAGGGCTTGCGACTGTTACGGGGCGTGAGGCTGTTCGTGATTAAGCGTGCGCCAAACGGGACCATTCGAGCAGTGGAGCCGGACGACTTCGACACCCGCTGCCATAGTTACGTGGCTATGTACGGCGGCAGTAAGTGTTTGACTCTGTTCAAATGACTAACCTGCTTGTTGCTCTTGTTCCAAGTCTTCAAAACCGTGTAAAATCTTGTATTGAAGCTAATACCATGGCATCTTAAAGCAGCCGGACTTACTCTGTGTCACTGTTTCCGTTTCCTGCCTTTGTGGTTCTGTCACAGGGATGAAGGGCATAGAGTGGCACCTGCTTAACGACCACCCTTCTTCCAGCCCAGCATTCATGGCGTGTGCGCGCCAGTTTGTGACACAGGATGACCCAGACCGCCCACTTGGGATCTATGCGTCACAGCTCCAACTCATTCTGGCAGTCGTAAGTGTTGTCTCAGCTGTAATGCAAACGTTTCTATTGTATGTGCGATCTTACAGGCTTGTGTTGTGTTGTCCCTTGAGTGCAGGTTCATTTTAAGCTTCGTCACCCCACTTGCAACAAGCTTCAGCTTGGTCGCACTGGTGACACTCTCGCCATCTCCAGGCAAGCGCGCATTGTGCAGCGCTATATCAACAGCATGGGCCGGACTGAGGGCGAGTACATAGGCATAGGGCGGATCTGTATAGCGCAGTGGGTGACCATCCCCCAGGAGGTTCTGGATGCGGATGTACTGAAGAATGAGGATGCGGAGGATGAGTTTGATGATGATGAGGTGGTAGATGAGGATGCTGATGATGAATCTTCAATGCTAGGTTTTGTATGCACTGCAATTTCATTATTGCAGGTTTTTTTAAGGGCATGTTTTATTAAAAAAAAAAACACTGTTTAGGTCCCCAGAACGCATTTAAAAACATACAAGCAGTGGTTAACAATGTAAAATGTTACTGGTTTGGAGTGTACTTCGGTAACACGGTTACAAATGTAACTCTTACAATCAAAGTAACCCTTGAGCAACAGTATCGCCGTTTCTGTCGCGAAGTGGTCCGTTGTTAACAAACTTGATTTTGCGTACGTGCACAATGTTTTAGCGATGTTATTTCTACTTATGTTTGTTGGGGTGCTATGCGAAATTGTGAGTCCCTCTATGGCGAGTAGTCACCCTTCGATTCATTCACAAGTATATTGCAACAATCCGGAAAGTTGGACCGAGAAAAAAAAAAAAAACGTACCGACCCCTTATCACGCATTTGGCTCTGTACATTTCTTGCGCGCTTTGGGAAATGGCGAGTTCGATTGTGGAGCGAAACCTGGGGTTAAGAATGATGCCGCTTGGAAAATCAACCTGCATGTGACACGCTGTAAGTGTGTATTGCAATACGCCAATCCCAGGCATCGCGAAAAAATCCCCAGCGATGCCTATCAAACTTCATGCCACTGGATGGCATCTTGTTTGACACACAGGTATAGGTTCCGATGTTCGCGTTTCCCCTTCCCGCTCCCCATTACCCCTCCCCACCTCCCCGTTTCCCTTCCCGCCTCCCCGTTTCCCGTTCCCGCTCCCCGTTTCATCTTCCCACATTCGCGTTTCCCCTTCCCGCTTCCCATTACCCCTCCCCGCTTCCCCGTTTCCCATTCCCGCTCCCCGTTTCCCCTTCCCGCTCCCCGTTTCCCCTTCCCACCTTCTCGTTTCCCCTTCCCGCTCCCCATTATCCCTCCCCGCCTCCCCGTTTCCCCTTTTCGCCTCCTCGATTCCCCTACCCGTCTCCCTGTTTCCCCTTTCCGCTCCCCGTTTCCCCTTCCCACCTCCCCGTTTCCCCTTCTTGGCTCCTAATTTCCCTCATAAATGCCTCCCTATCTCCCCAGCCAACCCACCCATCTCCATCTCAAGCCTCACCATTCCGTGTGCAAGCCTCCCCATTTTTCATTCCCCTGGCTCCCTTTTATTGCCCCCTCCTTCTCCCTCTCGTTTCCAAAGCTTCTCTCGCTCGTTTCCCCCCCTTCCCCCTGTCGTTTCCCCCCCCTTCCCCCTCGCGTTTACACCCCTTCCCCCTCTCATTTACCCCCCTTCCCGCTCTCATTCCCCCCCCTTCTCCCTTGAGTTTCCTCCCCTCCTCCCTCTCATGTCCCCCCCATCTCCCTCTCATTTCCCTCTGTTCTCCCCCACATTCACCCCATGACCCCCCTCATCCCCCCCCCCTTCTCCCTCTCGTTTCCCCCCCCTTCTCCCTCTCGTTTCCCCCCCCTTCTCCCTCTCGTTCCCCCCCCCTTCTCCCTCTCGTTTCCCCCCCCTTCTCCCTCTCGTTTCCCCCCCCTTCTCCCTCTCGTTTCCCCCCCCCCCCTTCTCCCTCTCGTTTCCCCCCCCCCTTCTCCCTCTCGTTCCCCCCCCCCCTTCTCCCTCTCGTTTCCCCCCCTTTCCCCTCTCGTTTATCCCCCTTCCCCCTCTCATTACCCCCCCTTCTCCTTCTCATTTTCGCCCCTTCTCCCTCTCATTTCCCCTCTTGCTCCCTCTCATGTCCCCCCTTTCCCCTTCTCATATTCCCCCCTCCCCCCTCTCATGTCCCCCGTTTCTACTTCTCATTTTTCCCCATTCTCCCTCTCATTCCCCCCCCCTTCTCAAGCTCACTTCCCCCTTTTCTCCCTCTCATTTCCCCTCATGTGCCCCCTCATTCCCCTCCCCCCTTCCCCCTCTCGTTACCCCCCCATTCACCTGCTCATTTCTTCCCCTTCTCCCTCTCATTGCCCAATTCGCTGCCTCTCATTTTTGCCCCTTCTCCCTCTCATTCACCCCCCCTTCTCCCTCTCGTTTCCCCACCTTCCCCCTCTCGTTTACCCCCCTCCCCCCTCTCATGTCCCCCCTTTCTATTTCTCATTTTTCCCCATTCTCCCTCTCATTCCCCAACCCCCCTTCTCAAGCTCACTTCCCCCCTTTCTCCCTCCCATTTCCCCTCATGTGCCCCCTCATTCCCCCCCTTTCCCCCTCTCGTTTCCCCCCCATTCACCTGCTCATTTCCTCCCCTTCTCCCTCTCATTTCCCCATTCTCTGCCTTAAAATTTTTTATCTCCCTTTCCCTCTCTGGCATTCACCCTGCTTCTCCCTTTCCCCTCTCTTCCCTGCACCCTTCTTCCCGCTTTCCCCTCTCTTCCCTACACCCTTCTTCCCGCTTTCCCCTCTCTTCCCTACACACTTCTTCCCGCTTTCCCCTCTCTTCCCTACACCCTTCTTCTCGCTTTCCCCTCTCTTCCCTACACCCTTCTTCCCGCTTTCCCCTCTCTTCCCTACACCCTTCTTCCCGCTTTCCCCTCTCTTCCCTAAACCCTTCTTCCCGCTTTCCCCTCTCTTCCCTACACCCTTCTTCCCGCTATCCCCCCTCTGCCTTACACCCTTTTCCCCCCTTTCCCCACTCTGCCTTACCCCCTTCATCCACGTTTCCACCCTCTCTACGTTACGCCCTGCTTCCCCTTTTCCACTGTCTCCCTTAACCCCCTTCCATTCCATCCCCTTCCACCCCCTTCCATTCCATCCCCCTCCAGCCCCTTCCATCCCTTTCCAGTCCCTGCCATCCCCTTTCAATCCCCTACAATCCCCTAACAGCTCCTCCCATCCCCCTCCAGCCCCTTCCATCCCTTTCCAGTCCCTCCCATCCCCATTCAAACCCTTTCATTCTCCTTCCAGCTCCTCCCATCCCATGCCCTTCCAGCCCCTCCCATCCCATGCCCTTCCAGCCCCTCCCATCCCATCCCCTTCCAGCCCCTCCCATCCTTTGCAGGTGATGAGGATAGCGTTGAAAATGACGAGGATGAAGGTGACATTGAGGGGTTCGAAAGAGAATGGGAATTGCCCATCATGATAAATTTTGCAACGAGGGCATGAGATGCATGGGCATACAATTAGCCACGTGCATGGTATTGAGGAAAATCGTTCTGTGAATATTATTTTTAAATGTAATTAGTGAAAAGGTTGTGAGGAACCACTACATCAAACTTGATAAAGTGCAGATAGCTAAATGACCATAAAAGTTCCTAATATCGTGTGGCAAAGTGAGCTCAACAACACAGAATTGGAAGTGTATGCATGCTTGTTGAATCACCACCAGTGGCCGTCAACTAAGCAAAAAGATGCCGCACGTGCTGCCTGCTGCTGCATGCCTGGCATTGGTGTGCAGCAGAGGGGAGCGAAACAGTGTGGGCGGCTTGGTGGACCTGCTTGTGAGAGGAGTGGGGGGATTGGGACGGAGGAAGGGGGAAAAGGAGGTACATATGACAGAGCTCAAGCTAAGCCTGGAAAATTGCTAGTGGGGAGAGTTAAGTAATGAGGGGGGAAAAGAGAAATCCAGTACCCACAAGATACACATTACCTGACTGGCACGCAACCCTAAGAGATTCCCTAGCATGCATGCCTCACAATGCCACCACGAGAACACGCAGAGTACCAGAGTGCCATCAGTGATTCAAATGGCGTGAAATACTGTGTGTGAGCCCGAAGGCAAGCGATGGAACTCGCACAGTACCTGCGGGGTTTGAAACGGGGGTCCAAGGTAGGGCATGAGTCTAGCCCTTTGCACCATCTGTCACCGCAGCCTCCTCACCTCCTCCTCCTCCCTCTCCCTCCATCTCTCTTCCTCATCCCTCCTCGCCCGCTTCTCCTGCTGCTAGCGCTGTGCTACCTGATCACATCCTCGCAAAGAGGAGTGGGAGACATGGGAAACCGAGGTGTGAGGGAGCAGTTGCAATGCACGTTGAGCTTGCATGCACATCAAACAGCATGGAAACGCACACCCAGCATACGCTGATCCGCCCGCCCAACACCTGATCCCCCCCTCACCTGCATGTCGTGAACATGCACAGCATCCTGAGCAGGGGGGAAAGTGAGAAGGAGCAGGGGCAGGGATGAAAGGGAGCAGTGGGGGGAATGAGATTGAGAAGAGGGGAAGATGAGGGTGAGAAGGGGTGGGGGCGAGAGGGAGCAAGGGGGGAAATGAGACAGAGAAAGGGGGGGGAGATGAGAGGGAGAAAAGGGGGATTTGGGAGCGAGAAGGGGGGATTTGAGAGTGAGAAGGGGGGATTTGAGAGCGAGAAGGGGGGATTTGAGAGCGAGAAGGGGGGATTTGAGAGCGAGAAGGGGGGATTTGAGAGCGAGAAGGGGGGATTTGAGAGCGAGAAGGGGGGAATATGAGAGGGGGAAGGGGGGGTTACGAGAGGGAGGGGGGGGGGAACGAGAGGGAGGAAGGGGGGAAATGAGAGGGAGAAGGGGGGGAAACGAGATTGAGAAGGGGGAGAAACGAGAGGCGGAAAGGGGGGAAATGAGAGGCGGAAGGGGGGGAAACGAGGGGGAGATAGGGGGGAAACGAGAGGGAGGAGGGGGGGAAACGAGAGGGAGGAGAGGGGGACATGAGACGGAGAAGGGGGAAAAAAACGAGATCGAGAAGGGGGGAAACGAGAGGCGGAAGGGGGGGAAATGAGAGGCGGAAGGGGGGGAAACGATATGGAAACGAGATTGAGAAGGGGGGGAAACAAGAATATCGTGATGTACAGGATATGCGCTCGACACTTTTACAGCCGATTCGTTTCGCAGTAAGTCGCCCAGCGAACAAAATCGAATCATTTTCGTCGCAAATCTTCCTGAAAACTGCCAAATGGAGGGAAACGGTGATAATTTCTAAGAAAAAATCGGAGAGTTATGCACCAAGGAGGAGCAGATACGTGCGGCGCTCCTACGACTCGAGAAACTCCTAGCGAACCAATCGGCAGCCGTAGAAACAGCACTAGCGACGGCGGCGACACCGACAAAGTACCTGCGACAATGGCACCGGCTACAAGCAATCTCGAAGCAGTGAAGCTGAGGCTATCGGAGGCGTTCGATCCTAAAGAGAAAGGGAGCAACGTCCGTCGATTTGCAGCTGAACTCGAAATTTACTTCGGATGTACGACCCCCACCCAACACGCAATGTGCATACGGCTCACGGCAACACTGTTACGAGGCCCAGCTCTAGAGTGGATTAACAACAAAATTGTCCAAGGCGAAGAGACGTGCACACAGTTTCGGGCAGCATTGATCAAACAGTTTGACTTGTTGAATTGTAGCTACTAAAGAACACGATGCAACCAGCCAAATTGAGGCATGGGGCGATCGGCACCACCCACGACTGCCGACCCGATGGAGAATGACAAGGGCAATGCAAAGCAGCGGATAGCAAAAAATGAGACGTGCAAATTTTGTGGCACTACAAGATATCGTATCTTGGCGTGTTTGGAGATCAAAAAAGCACGTGCAGAGCTAAAGGGCAAGAACAGTGCGGCACCCCCGAAGCAGAAAACGGACAACGTGGCAACTTTGGAGAGGGCGAAAAAATGAGAATATGATGGCGCAAATTTAAAACGTCAAGACCAGCCGGCACCAGGGGGAATCGTCGAGACAAAAGGAGACTCCATGAAACAAGATCCTGCACCGACCGGGAAACTCCAACTGTACACCTCGACAAGTAAGATTTCGTAAAAATTACCCTATAAAGATACTTCAACTAAGACAAGTGTTTCTCGTGGTTTTCAAGCCTTTATTAAGGGAGAGTCAGAAATTATATTAGTACCAGGTAAAATAGGGACCCCACTCCGGAGCGTTGATATGGGTCGAGCATTCCAAAGAGTTAATATTCTCACCCAGCATCATGGTGATAATGCCCCCTTTTCTCCACATGTCAAGCTTACACAGCTACAAAGGCTTAGGGGAAGGTTCCATGCCCAAACGAAGTTGAGTTGGCCTCAGATAAATCCTTCTAACCCTACAAAGGTGAAAACTGATATTGCGTCTGCAGCTTCGGGCGCAGGACCTCGGGATGATATATATGATCCTATAAGCAACACTATCTACATCTACTCGGAGCGGCAACAGCCACTACTACTCGAGGTGATATGCAACGGGCAACGCCTCCAGGCACTGGTGGACAGTGGTGCATCTCACTCGGTGTGTGACCTCGGGACGTTAGAGAAAATTGGAGAGTCCTCGGAGGAGACCCAATTCATAGCAACGATGGTGGACGGTACGAAGCTTCCCATCCATGGCGAGTCAATACTACAGCTGCAGATAGGGGCATTGAGGTGGAAGCCGACGTTGCCGATCACGAACATCAAAGGGTTAGATTTCATCTTGGGGCGAGATTTCTTGAAGCGGTTCAACCCCGAGATAGACTCGGTTAACAGGAAGGAGTGCATCTACAACAACGGGAAACATGTGGAGCTGCGAAGCTAGACAGATACATGGGATGTTTCTGAAATGACACTTGCACAATTCGAACGGACACTGAACGTGAGTAACACGGGTTACTTAGCACCGGTGATGGCAGCAGAAGAGGAGAAACCGAGTTCGAAGCTACCTGCAGCAGTATAGGAGGTGTTAGCAAAATACAAGGACATTATGCTCGATGACCCAGCTGCAAGAGTGCCTCCAGCGCGAACACACGAGCACTAGATCATGGAGGAACCAGGTGCGTAACACGTCTCCCGTGCACCATACCCCCCTCAATCCGACCGAACTGACAGACATGAAGAAAAAGATTGAGTAACTACTGGACAGAAAACGGATCCACCTATCCACATCTCCTTACGGTGCACCGATTCTCTTCACTCCAAAGTCGAATGGTAGTTTACGGATGTGCATCGACTGCCGGGCTCTGAAGAAACAGACAATGAAGAACAAATACCCCAAACCGCGCATAGACAATCTTCTAGACCAGCTGCGTCGTGCAACAGTGTTTTCGAAGCTGGACCCATGGTCGGGTTGCTGGCAGATCAAGATGCCAGACAACTCGATCCACAAGACTGCATTCCGTACCAAATACGGTTCCTACAAATACTTACTTATGCCGTTCAGACTCTGCAATGCTCCAGCGACGTTCCAAGCAGAAATGAACCACATCCAACGGCCCCTACTTGATGAGTTCGTAGTGGTGTACCTGGACGACCTTCTTATCTACTCCAAGAACATGAAGGAGCACGTGGAGCATCTGCACAACGTGAAGCTATCAAAGAGCGACTTCGCACTAAAGAAGGTGCAGTTTCTCGGGCACATGGTGAGTGCGGAGGGCGTACACGTGGACCCGCGGAAGATCAAAGCCGTCAAATAATGGAAAGTACCAGAGAACGTGAAGGAGTTGCAGCAGTTCCTAGGCTTCGCCAACTATTACAACAGGTTTATGCCGCAGTATGCTAAGTTAGCAGCGCCACTTACGAACCTACTGAAAATGATTCACCCTATAAATGGGATGCTCGTCAACAGTAAGCCATGGAGCAGCTATAGACACCATTGACTACAGTGCCAGTACTCATCCTACTAGATCCAGATAAAGACTACGTGGTGGAAGCAGACGCTAGTGACTAGGCAGTCGGAGCAGTACTGATGCAGGAACACGAACGCGATTTGCAACCCATCACCTACCTCAGTAAGAAGCAACAAAGAGCTGAACTGAACTACCCAATCCATGACAAGG